AAAAACCCCTGATGACTATGTTTATCCGCAGAAAAGCAAGTGTACAATCAGTATTAACCAGTCCAAGAAGCGGTGCACTGCCTGGGTACAACACAAGTGACACAGATTTTAGAAGAAGACTAAAGGTAAGAGAGGAGTGAAAGGTTAAACATACAAATCTCACAAAGAAAGGAGTCTTTAAATGCGGGGCTTTTTTGACAATTGCAACCTACAGTGCAACCTACAGTGCTTCATGTTTACTCTGAATTCAAAATAAATAAATAAATAAATAGATAGATAAATAAATAAAAGCAGTTTGGTATTCTTAAAGAACCAGTTTTATAGAGAATTCTATTTACATTAGCATGATAGATTACATCATGTTATATAAATAAAATCTTACACTGTGACACAAGCATCTGCTAGGAAAGTCAGAAATTCGATAGAAAGAAATGCTGTGAAAAATCTGCAAACCTGAATGCTGAGGAGAAAAATGAAACAAAGGAAACAAAACATGCTTCTAGACATTTTACAGATAAAAATATGAACAAATAATAAAGAAACAACATCAACAACAACAGAAAGCCTTACCATGATGTTTGCACAACTGTGTGTCTGTAGCCCATGCTATAAATGTGGATACCTTCTATTCCCATCATCTCAGCCCCTCTAGTGGTCAGTACCTGAAGATCTTGCCTTCAGGAGGGACAAGATCTATCCATATGTACCATTTGCTGCTCCTCCTGTATCTTGTCGGATATTTTTTTCTTAATTGTACAATTTTTTCTGGAGATATAACTTGTCACCTTTTATTAGCATTTTTGTCAGTGCTGCTGCTACGTGCATACATTTAATTGCTAAGCAACAAAGAGAAAGCTCTGCACAGCACATTCGATTACTGCATTCCCTGTGCCATGCATTGTTACTAATGCACTTACATAATATGAAATAAAAAAAGAAGGTAAAAATATTTATTTCTGTTTCCATAGCATCTAGAAGCCACAATCTGAAATCAGCCTCCATCATGCTAGCCACCAGGCAGAGAGCTAACATCTGAAGATGAGGGCAAGTGGACCAATTCAAAGTGGACAAAAGTTAAAAACAGAGCTGTTTCAGCCTTGCATAGGTGAATAGGCTAAGTCTAAAGCTCAGGGGTGACTACCCACCTACAGTTAGACAGTCTTGATTCTCACACATTAGAGAACTATCCCTGTGGCTAAAATACTTGAGGCATTTGTAAGTGTGGTGGCCTCAAGGTAGAAAGCAATAACACTTTCAAAAGTTTATCAGTTTGAAAGAAATGTGTCTGCACTGTATTAAGAAATAATCCCTCTTCCCTTTTCTCTTTAAGGTGTACAACAAACAGGGCAGGCCTTATTTTTTCACCAAAAGTTACACTTCATTGTCTACTCTTTGTATCCAAATGTACATTTGCCCCTGTAATTGAAGGGTGCTGTCTTCAAAATCTGAGTCTGGCACAACCAAGGATTACTGAGTTTATCACACAAGGGACTGCAACTTTATCTTTTGTTTGTTGAAGAACAGATCTGTTTACCAGAGAGATCTCTTTACTCCTGAAATGTGAAAGGATAGTGATCCATACTTGCTCTTGGTATGATTACTAGACATTATGCAGTCAGCGCTGCATTTATAAGTAGCGTTTTATTTTCAATGTTCAGGGGGAAGAGCAGCTTGAAAAACTAAGCCATTATTGTGTAGGTGTACAAATTTGCACAACCACCTACAACTATTTTTATTTCTGCAGTTAGATGGGAATTCAGGTATGGGGCCTGACCCTCTCTGTATCCCTTTGGCATTTCCCAAGTAGCCCAAGTGGAGCAAAGAACCAGATGGGGAGACCTGGTAGAATCTTCTATAGCTTTATTTCAGGATGCTATATATCAAGAATTATAGAAGGTATCCTTTAAGATAAGTTTCTGATCTATTATCCCTAAGGATTAAGAGGAGTGCTAGGAAAACAGGAAGTTGCTTTGAACCATGAACAGTCAGGGACACAATCCTGCTGAGCAGCATTAGTATTTCCTCTGGGTTCCAATATTTTTATAACTAAACTGAAATTTGTTAACAGTTAATATGACCTGTTCTCTTGGAGAGGCTGAAGCAAGGGCTCTAGTTGTGTTCAGGGCACAACGTCCTTTGTACTCCCATGGGAAGGCCAAGTAGAATTCTTCTCCTGACAACCACAGCAGGAGCCCACAAAGGACATTATCAAATTCCTGAACTAATGAATTACATCAATACTTAATCATACAAAGTGCTTCTGCATTAAGCTACTCAAAACATTAATTACTTAACCCCTGACATATCTTAGTGAATATATTCCTTTCATTGCTATTTCATGAGATGGATGCTTGGAGAGGCCATACATTTCCAAGAACAACAGAGTCAAGTCCTATATCCAGATTCAGAACAGGGAATCAGCTTCCAATTGGGAGACCCTGTTCCTGCCTCCTGGGTGACTTTGGATCAATTGAGTACAGAACTGAAATGGAGATTTGTGAGATAAATACAGAAGAAAATTAAAGACTTTCTAGCTACTAGGAAGAGCTCAATGACTTTCATATGACCCAGAGTCCTACAGCTCCTCCAACTAAGGATTCCATAGAAGGTAGCACAGAAAACAAGTCTCACATCACTGGTTTTTATGAGAGAAACTTTAAAACCCCACCAAATAAGGTAAATTAATAGCATATTACATTATACTTGTGTGCTGGTAACAGTAAACATTTAATCTTTTTCCTACCTTTTAACTTCCTAGCATTCAAAAACTACTAAATGAATAGGTGTGCTTCTACATTTCCTAACCCATAGCTTACCTCTGAATCTTCACATTGAACATTAATAGTTTCTTTTGCTTAGCTCAGGACAGCAGAATTACCTTGTTTGAGGGGATTGCTCTAAGCATTGCTCTGAACACCAAATACACCTGGGCCTAGCATAGCCTTCTTGAATTCATTGATATAAACTCATAAAACTTTCAGTGTTCAACTCTTAGTGATGACTCCAGCGTGACTGTGAAGCATTAGGTACACAACACAGTCTCTGAACTTGAGCTGCAGTGACAACGTGCAATATGGGCAACAGGGAGGGAAAATAAAGGTTACATATGACCATTTTAATCACACGCTCTATATACACTGTATTATTCCCACATTTCTACAGTTGCCCTTTCATGCCTTCAGAGAAGTATTGTAATTATAATCTGTTTGGCTTCAAGTTCAAAATGAAAGTATACAGGTTACATATATATGTACACAGGTCCTTAATCACACGCTTGTGCTTAATAACTTCTTTAACTTTCGGTCAGCCCTGAATTGGTCAGATAGTTGGCCCAGATAATCATTGTAGGTCCCTTCCAACAATCCCTGAAATAACCTCTTCTGCTACTCCATTCCATGCCATAGTGTTGGTCACAGCAGCCACAGACCCCAGGTCAAGAAGGGTGGTACCCGGACATCTGCAGCAGCTGTAGACTAATGGGTCAGAATTTTTTCACTATAGAGTCCCATTAAAGAGCACACCTACCTACAATAATAATAAAAGGGATACTAAGCCTGCACTCTGCAGACTCTTAGCGCTCTCTTATCTAAAAGAGCACTCACAGCAGCAGTAGCCTTTGTTCATACTTCCCAAATCATGAAGGTTAATGGGACCATCCTTCTAAACGAGGTGGCAAGACAAGCCTTACTGGCACAGAAAACAATTTTTTTTCCTGAAAATAATAAAATTGGGTAGATGTCTCTCTATTACAAAGGTACTTTTCAGGGACTGGATCCATCTTGCATAGACCACTGGAAACAGGATAATCTTCAGCCAGTACTAAACTAAATATATGTATCTATATACACCACTCAAAACAACTTCAAAGATGTGTCACAGAAACCTGAGTCCAAGCCAAAATAGAACTGTGGATTAAAAAGACATTTTCAAAAGGTGTGTTTGTAAAAGGCTAAAAGATATTTCTCAGTTCAGGAAACAAAGCTTGCACTTCAGTTGCTTTTTTCCTTTGCAGACAGATCATTCAAAAGAAGCCAAAACTAAACATTCAGTGAGAACATAAGGAGCACCCAATGGGGTTTTTCCTCAATTGCAGCACTTTAGGCATACTTAGCATCAAGAGCTTCCATGTTTTTCCTGAGCTATTATTTTCACTTCTTCTATATCCACCATTTTTGTGAGGTGTGTCTTTAACCCAATCTGTTAACATGTGTAATTAGTATGCTCACCACTGTAGGGAGAGAATTTTATCCAGCAACCAAATAAGAAGCTCAACAGTAGCTGTGAATTTTATTGTTGTAATATTAATAATTTAAGCCTTCTATAAAACGGTTTGTTAGGGATGGGCATGAGGGAACAGAACATTGTAGGGCTTTTTGTAATTTAATACATTGTAGGGCTTTTTGTAATTTAATACCTCAGAGTGATGAACTGTAGAACATATCCTCAAGAACTTGTCTCCAAATCAATACTTCCTTCCTTGTAAGGCAGAGGTAGGCAATGTTTTATTCACAGTATTTCTGAAATGGCTAAATGCAGCTCAAAAGACAAAATTTTTAGAATACGTACTTTACTTAAGCTTTAAACCTGCTAGAATTTGGTATGATTTACACATCAGAGCAAAAGAGATCTTCAGCTCTGAAGTAGTGAGGTGTAGTCAATCCCTGCTGTATTCTAAACTTTGCTCCCATAATAGTAACTGAACAATCCTCCTCAATTCCAAATATTTCCATCAGTTCAAAGCAGAAGTGGGGGAACATCCCACACAATCAGAATCAATAACATGGGGGTGAGGGGACAACAGTAAAAATCTAGGAGTTATTCAAATATTAGAGTAAATCTGTCTGCATAGAGATAACAGATATTTGATTAAATTTATCATTCTATGGAAAGCACTTTGTGATGTATGTCAGTGAAAGAGGTTTTTGTCTGCTGGTTTCATTTGCTCATGGCAACAAGAACAAAACACCAAAACAGAAAAATACTGATTTTCAGTAGTCTTTATTCAGATAGCTGTATTTGCATGTCCAGGACCAAACTGAAAGACACTCATCCACGTTTCCCAGAGGAAAAAAAGTGAAGATGTAAATGTTAAGACTGTTTTGAATGTAGAACTCTACTTTTCATAGCTGTTGCCATCTACCAGCACTTATGTCTGTGCCAAACCTTTGGTAAGTTTGCTTATGTCTTTGTTTAGTCCAAATTAGTTCTGCAGGGGAAAAAAGACAGGAGACCTGTTGGAGAAAAAAATAGTAATTTGAAACTTTCAGATATTGAAGATCAGACTTATTTTCTTCAGAAAGAATACTTGTGAGGCTGAAGAAAGCCATCACTCATTTTGTAAAATAATGAAGGCATGGAATGAGGTGTACTTTGATTTCCTGATTACAATAAAAGTGGGAATAGTTTTTTACTGTCTATTCTAATGTGAAGAAGAAACCAGTGATGTTCTACTGGCATGCAAAAGAAGTGTATATGAAGTAGTGCTATATTATGTACAACAGAAAATTAATTACAGCAGAATTATGCAATATGCTGCCCCTCACCAGCACTGGTAAACATCAAGTGTTTTCACAAATGGAACAATAGCATCCATTATGTTGTCTCAGAATACATATGCTTCATAATTAACATTATTAAAAGAGGAAAAGTCTGTTCTGTAAAAGCAAAGCAGTAAAGAGACGTTCATAATCTCTACCATGCAGTCCATTAACCTCAGAAATTTTAAGTAGCTTCACAGTCATCCATGGCATTTTGGATTTCTCACAGCTTCAAATCTGTGGGCAGCTTCACAAGCTTTTTGCAAAGTTTCTCATGACTAGGACATCTGTAAAATTTCCTCCAGACCTTTCTTCAATTCATCTCGTGTTAGGTATTCAGTAATTGACATATCTTAATAAGGATAAAGGTACATACTTAAAAACACACTCTACTGCACACAATATCTTTTTTTAAAAAACTTATTGGCAATTTTAGGTGCTGTAAGATATTAAAAGCATACTGTTTCTTAATCTCAGCTTTTTTTTTTCTCACTTCAGTGTGAGTTTTTAATGAGCAGTGTTCTCAGATGAGTCTCATCGTAAGGAGCTAAAATAATCAGATATCAACCTGCCTTTTACGAACTAACCCACCATTCAACATAGGTGTCTTCACTACTTAGGTGAAAAAAATTTATATATTTTAGAGTCAGCTGAAAAGGTGCAACGCTGCCTGACATGTTGCTTAGAAACAACTGACAAATTTTCTTCTTGGAAGTGTACTCTGGAAATATAAAAGGATAGAACTGGAATGCTAAATTTTGGCATAGTGGTTTTTATTAATTTCTTTAGTCCACAGAGGGAAGAAATTGGTACGTCTTTGTTAATTCTGATCTCATGAAATTGGTCTTCTTTTCATACAAGAAATTGATTCAGATTTCACCATCAAAATTGAACCTCAACTGCAATAACAATAACATCTTTAAGTTAGCCCTCACAATGTACTTGTAGTCCTGTCTCCTTGACATAAATACTTTTGTATTTCTGATACAGATAAGTGAGATGGGCCTACCTGAAAAAACATATAAGGATAATGTTAAAGGAATTCAGAGGTCAGCATGCACAGAAGAGGATATCACTTCTTCCTTTCTGGCTGGCAGCACTAAATAATGTTGCACTACAGAATGTAACATCATATAAAAAAGATATTTAGATCCTCAGAGCATACTAATGTCTGAAAAAGAGATACAAAATACACTCAATCTTATACCCCAGGGCATCCACACAATTACATTAGTACTAGAGGAGAAGAAGCAATATATGTACCTTCTTAGAAGTGAAATCCTACCTAACCAATTTGCAATTCACCTTGGGTGATGCAGAACCTAGATATAGAACCTCTAAATGGCATACAGGTAGTCAGCTTTAGCTGCTCTGGATTATCCATAAGAAGACTCATATCTGAGCTGGTTTAGGGTTTTGAGTCTAAGGCTTCAAATTCCAGAATTCTTAAGGACTACATATGTTTGTAGTCTCATGAACAGGGAGGAAAAAACCCAACCAACCAAACTGATTTTTCATCTGAATGCAAGGCAAAGACAGTTACTTTAGATTTTGGTTATACTACACAATTAAATTTCCTAAATTAAAAACCAAATTTTCAATGTCTCATTGGTATCAGGGTTGTTCTGAATTACCAACCCCTGGTGTCCACAGACAGGTCAAAATCATATGGAATGGCTTAGTGTGCTTCAACACTGTTATGCCATGCTACGCAAGCACAAAACTTGTTTTGGCCTTGCAGTTTTCCTACTCTATATACTGGCCCTAGTTTAAGCACACTTTTTGAGGGAGCAGTATCTAAAGTCTTCAGGGATTTCCAGAAAAAGGTTCTCTAGAAGCTGATCAAGCCGCCGTGTCCCCAGCAGCACAGCAGAGCCCACCGAGCCCCACAGAAGGCCGGGAGACAGCTGTAGCACCCCCTCCGCTTCCTGCTGCTCCCACAGGCGCCTCAGCTCCGCTCCCACAGCCCACGGGGACGCTCTGAGTCACAACTCGCAATGTAAAACCTCCGTCTGCAAGAGGGTTCCTCCTCTGTAAGCAACAGGAGATGATACTCTGACTAGGGAAAAAATAAGCCAGAATGTGGCATTCATCTGAGGAATGATGCTGTACCAATGTCCTGCATCCTCAGTCAGCTCCATGACTGATTTAAACTTGGGTGGTAGAAATTCATATTGGTGTTCCGTGCAAGATATAACACTTCAATTTAAAGACAAAGAATACATATAAAAGGTTTCTTTTGTATTTTTTTTTACATATAACAGTGCTATGAGTCACTTTTTTTCCCCATAGAGAACTGTTAACTAACCATTACACTAAGTGTATGTTTAATAAAACAAAATATCCAAATTTGTAAGACACACTTTCTAAAGGTCATGTTCTGTAATGTCACACTGATCACCACCTGATTAAATTGCCTACTGCTCCAAATTTAATGAGAGACTGAAAAGTCTCAATGATAATTGGGACAGACGATTCTTTGAAGAGAGAAAGTGAGTGGGTAGTTAGTCGAAGCACAGAAGAATGCTTATTAGTGTGGAGGTGGAAGAAGTCCTTTCTGAGAAAAACAATTGAAGACTATTCTATTTGGAAAACATTGACTTTTTATTTGTGCTACTTCACTGGAGTCCTGGATACCGTATCAATTCCATAACAGGTGGGGAAAAAAAAAAGAACAAAAAAAATCCAACAACCAATAATCCAGCAGTCTCTTTCCCGCCTACAATTGCATACTGCGTAGTAAATTTAATGATTTCACATTTTTCAGTATAAAAATCATCATTATTTTCAGGAACTCTCTAAGTGATTTGTGTCTTGTCCTGTTTTTCTTAAAAGTAAAAATTTTTTTTTTACTCCAAACAAAGTCATTGTCAGGAAAAGTGCACAGAAAGATATAAAGACAAAGACAGTTACAACCATCTGATTGAAAATTACAGAACCCCTACGTTAGGGAATAGGGAACAATTTAATCTTAATTAATATAAAGTCCCTTAAAGACACTGAGTATTTTTTATGCTCTTCCAATAAGATTAACAAAATATTTTACTGGGGATTGGAAATGGCACTAAAGTAAACTGCTGTTAAATATGTGGCTCAGATGTTCATTAGGAACATAATGATAAAGGGACAGTTCTCCTAAAAAGGACTCTATTTTTAAAGTCATAATCAGATCTTTTTCTGCCTAAAAGATAGTCCATTTCAAACAAGTATTATTTAAAGGAGATCACATGTACTGCATTATAAAAAAGATCAAGTAAAGTAATTGCAATAGACATTCTGGGTTCATAATCAACAGAATTACTGATATTTTTATGTCTTTAAGCCTGCAATTCCATCTTGATATCCATATTTTACTCTGACTGCAAAATGCATATCAAAATTCCAGACTGTCCTTTTTGAAGTTAAAATGTGCCATGAAAGCAATATTTAAGATTATCAAAGACAAAAAAAAAAGAAAAGGAAGCACTTAAGACCTAGTCCAGCTATCAGGAGCTATGACAAGTCTGGGATTCTCAGGTCACAGACAGGAGGACTGTACAAATACCCCCCAGCAGAAAGCTCTCTTTCAGAAGCTGTATTTATTGTTCCTTGTCCATTCTGAGCCAGGAGCATGTCAAAATACGGATGAATTGTGGTTGAAGACTGGGGTTAAAATCTGTCCTCAAACATATAACTGAAGTTTGTTGTTCAGTTGAAAGGCTGACTTGTTTTCTAGTTCCTAATTTTCTTTTCTTTCAGAGCAGGTATTTTATTTAGAGTTATATCTGGCTAGGTGAAAAGGACAGACATCAACTGCTTATTCTTCAGACTGGTACAAAATGTCTAACAAGGTACTGGGAGAGTGGCAAACTGTGCAAAACAAACTGCAAACTCAAGCTATAAGCAGCAACATGAACAATCTGGCTACTCTTCCAAGGAGCAATGGACTTCAGTAAAAAGTCATTTCCTTCTTTAAGAGAAAGCAAATGTTGGTTCAGGCAATTCCCACCAGGTCTATTATTATTTACAGACATCACTGTTGGCTCTCACTCAAGGAGAATAGGGGGAGGGGGAGAGCTCCAACAACTTTCCAAAGAGAAGAGGCGTAACTCTTCACAGCACAATCTTGGGTGCAATGAGAAAGGACTTCATTGCTAATTATGGCTTATTAGTGATATTGCATTATAAGTTATCACAGAAGGGGTTCGGGTCAGAAAGCATATTCTTGTTTTGAAAAATCTTATGTCTTACCTTTCCCTGAAGGGACTGAAGTCCTTTCCTACATCATGAATCTAAAGTACCTTCTTCTAGTCAAATGGTTTTAGCCTACCTCCACAGAATTAGAGAAGATACCCCAGTCCCTGGCAAGAGGTCTTCTCTACCCTCAGACTGAACAATTTCTCACAGGAAGGCTACCCTTGCACCAGTTCTTCCCCCCACAACCCCTCATGTCCTGTGGTAGGTACAAGCGACATAGCAGAACAAGATCTGCGCAGGTGAGAGGTTCACAGAGTTGACATAACCTGCAGGGGAACCTCATCCATCAATAATTCGAGTCAACTCTTCAGCTCTTCTAAATTCAGGAAGGGTCACATAGCACTTATTCCCTTGCCAGTCTCATGTGCCCATGCCTGGAGGTCAGGTAGTGGGATGGCACCAGCTCAGGGTTTATTCTAGTGCTTGGAATACGTTGTAACCTCACTCCAACAAAAAGGAAGCACACTACATTAAATATTCCTTTACTTCACCATATGATCATGCCAGATGGTGGTTTTTCGGACCTATCTGAATGTGGCTACATAATTATGACTGAACTCTCTTCTGAGATAGAAGAATCATAGAGTCATAGAATCAATTGGGTTGGAAAAGACCTCCGAGATCATCAAGTCCAGCCTTTGATCCAACACCACCATGGTTACAAGACCATGGCACTAAGTGCCACATCCAGTCTCATCTTAAAAACCCCCAGGGACGGAGAATCCACCACCTCCCTGGGCAGCCCATTCCAATGTCTGATTACTCTCTCTGTAAAAAATTTCTTCCTAATATCCAACCTAAACCTCCCCTGGCAGAGCTTAACACTGTGCCCTCTTGTCTTACTGCTGATTGCCTGGGAGAAGAGACTGACGCCCACCTGGTTACTGTCAATCCAAACTCCCAGGTCCCTTTCTGCCTGGCTGTTCTCCAGCCGCTCTGTGCCCACCCTGTAGCACTGCATGGGGTTGTTGTGGCCAAAGTGGAGGACCCGGCACTTGGCCTTGCTGAACCTTACCCCTTTGGAATTAGACCATCTCTACAGCTTGTCCAGATCCCTCTGAAGAGCCCTCTTGCCTTCCAGCAGATCAACACACCCCCCCAACCTGGTGTCATCTGCAAATTTGCTAATGGTATACTCAATCCCCTCATCCAGATCATCAGATACAGAACTGGGCCCAACACTGATCCCTGGGGGACACCACTAGTGACGGGCTGTCAACTGGATGCAGCCCCGTTCACCACCACTCTCTGGGCCCGGCCCTCCAGCCAGTTCCTAACCCAGCACAGAGTGCCCCTGTCCAAGCTGTGGGCTGCCAGCTTTTTCAGGAGTACATTATGGGAGACAGTGTCAAAGGCTTTGCTGAAGTCCAGATAGATCACATCCACAGCCTTCCCCCCATCCACCAGGGGGGTCACCTGATCATAAAAGGAGATCAGGTTGGTCAGACAGGACTTGCCTTTCCTAAACCTCTACTGGCTGGGTCTAATCCCTTGTCCATTCTGTAGGTGCTGTGTGATTGCACTTAGGATGATCTGCTCCATAACCTTGCCAGGCACTGAGGTCAGGCTGATGGGCCTGTAGTTTCCGAGGTCCTCCTTGCAGCCCTTTTTGTGGATGGGTGTGACATTTGCCAACTTCCAATCATCTGGGAGCTCCCCAGTGAGCCAGGACTGTTGGTAAATGATGGAGAGCAGCCTGGCAAGTACATCTGCCAGCTCCCTCATCACCCTTGGGTGGATCCCATCTGGTCCCATAGACTTGTGAGGATCCAAGTGGCTCAGCAGGTAACTGTTTCCTCCTGGATTACAGGGGCATTATTCAGCTTCCTGTCTCTGTCTACCAGCTCCAGAGGCCAGTTGTCCTGAGAACAACCTGTC